CATCATCAGCATGAGCATCAGCATCGCATCATCATCATCATCATCATCATCATCATCATCATCATCCGCATCTCCATCATCATCATCATCGACGTCATCATCAGCATCATCAGCAGCATCATCAACATCACCATCACCATCATCGTCTCATCATCATCATCATCATCATCATCATCATCATCATCATCATCATCATCATCATCATCATCATCATCATCAACATCATCATCATCATCATCATCATCCCTCTCCTCATCTTCCTGTGCCTCCCCCCCGACTCCTTCCCGGCGCATTGCAACTTTGTCCGACAGCCACACCATCCGAGGCAGAAAGCAACAGTACGACTCGATTACGCGGCTTGGCATGTCTGCCCCTGACGACCTTGGGCTCCCGAAGGATTACATGGGACCACGGAAGCCTTTGAGCTGCCGTTCACTCCGTGGCCCCAGGCATCGCCCCCTCGCTCGATTTCCGCCGCCGCCCCTCGAAGGAGTGGAGGCAGGAGGTGTGGGACAAGGAAGAGCAGTAGGAGAGAGTAGTACTCGGGGCTTCGACTATAAAAAACAACGGCGAGGAGCTACCTGCCCCACCCTCCTCTAGACCTTTCCTTGCCTCACGCCCTTTTGCTCATGCTTGCTATGCTATGACTGTGACACATCCCTCCCGCCCTTTCCCCAAATCCACCCACCACCACCACACTCCATTCCCCCTCCCGTGGTCTATAGACCGCGCTCAGTCGAAGAGGAATCAACGAGACAAATGCGAATCAACACACCATCACCATCGCCATGCACGTTGAAACCAGCATACATTCTGAATGCCAGAGGGGGTGTTGGTATTGGTATCGGACTCTCAGGGGTCCAGCCTCACAGAAGTCCCCGGGCGTGTCGCGTGAGCCTCCAAGGCCAGCAGACACCTCACGACAGCATGAGCAGGCTCGGTAACTGCGGCCCGAGAGGGTGCGCTGGGCCAGGCGCTCAGAACCCTTCTGCCCCAAGGCGCCGCCCCCACCTCGTCCTCCTCCTCCTCCTCCTTCTCCTCCCCCTCCTCCTCCTCCTCCTCCTCCTCCTCTTTTCCTCCTCTTTTCCTCCTCTTTTCCTCCTCCTCCTCCTCCGCATCCTCCTCCTCCTCCTCCTGCTCTTCTACATGGAGGCCCTCCAGGAGGCTCCCCAAGGCACGGTGGGGGGATGGGGAGTGGGGCGCTGGATGACGCAGCGGATGATGCCCCGCCGCCGCGCTGTGCTGTGGCCGGTGTGTATGCGTGTGTGTGTGTTGCGTGTCGTGTGTGTTGTGAGTTGTGTGATGTGGTGTGTGTGTGTGTGCGTTGTGTTTTGTGTGTTGTGTGTTGTGTGTTGTGTGTGCATGTGTGTGAACATGTGTGTGAACATGTGTGTACGCGTTTGTGTCTGTGTGCCTGTGCGTCTGCGTGTCTGTGTGTCTGTGTGTCTGCGTGTCTGTGTGTCAGTGTGTCTGTGTGTCTGTGTGTCTGTGTGTCTGTTGTGTCTGTTGTGTGTCTGTTGTGTCTGTTGTGTCTGCTGTTTGTGTGCGTGTGTGTGTGCGTGTGTGCGCGTGTGTGTGTGTGTGTGCCAGGCTTTACAACACTGATGCGTATGCTTTCTTCCTGCCCCCAACGACAGCATGCATACGTTGCAGCTGCTTGCCCCATTCCAAACGAGGTTTTCGCCTGCATCCGCACGGGCGAGGTTCGCGGACATGGGGGATGTCGAAGCCAAACCCTCCACGGCTCCCTCCGCCCAGGTCCCCATCCACGACGCGGTGGCGAACATGCACGGCTGCGCAAGTGCATACTGCCTGTCATGATTGCTTTCGCAGCTCATCCACCACCACCCCACCCCACAGACAGGGCAGAGACGAAGACGCGCCGAAGAGATCGCCGACGGATGCACCTGCGTCAGACACAGAAGGCCACGATCTCGTACAGCAGCACTCGCGCCAGCCCCGCGTCCCTGCACAGGAGCCTCAGCAGCAAGCCCAGGCCGCCGCGCCCACTGCGCAGCCTCACCTCCAGGAGGAGGAGGCGGAGGAGAAGAAGGAGGAGGAGGACGAGGAGGAGGAGGAGGAGGAGGAGTGGGAGGAGTGGGAGAGGGAGGAGTGGGAGGAGGAGGAGGAGGAGGAGGAGGAGGAGGAGGATGGGAGGAGGAGGATGGGAGGAGGGGGGGGGGGAGGGGGAGGAGGAGGAGCGTGAGTGCTCAAACCCAGGCCCCGCGCAGTGACCGACGGCCTGCCCTGGCTGACCCTGGGCGCGCGGACGGCCCTCAGCCTGGGCCGCCCGCGCCTCCTCCCACGGGAAGCGCCGCGCTCGCTCTGCTTCTGGCACCCTCCGCGGACCTCCTGCTGGCTCCGCCGAGGAGGAGGAGGGGGAGGAGGAGGAGGAGGAGGAGGAGGAGGAGGAGGAGGAGGAGGAGGAGGAGGAGGGGGAGGAGGAGGAGGAGGAGGAGGGGGAGGAGGGAGAAGAGGAGGAGGAGGAGGAGGAGGAGGAGGAGGAGGAGAAGAAGCACAGGGGAGGAGGAAGGAGAGGAAGGCGAGGCAGGATGAGCGTGCGGAGGAGGAGGAGGTCGATCCATCGGCCCGTCGACGACGAGGCCCTCCCTGGAACGCCTTGCAGCAGCCCTGTCCTCGCCGCATCTCTCCGGGACCCCCTGTCGCCGCACGGTCTTGGAAACTAAACAAGGAGGCCTCCGACGACGGACGCATCATCCAAAACTGGGAGGGGCCCCAGAACCGTCTCGATTCCCGCGAGCGCAGGCTTTTGTTGAAAACTGGTATTATCAAAATAACATTAACATCGTGTTATATGTTCTCGGGGCACTCGATTGTAAAACCCGTGCAGAATCTACGATTTCTGACGCGCGCAAGGGCGTACGAATGATTTCGACTTGCGGCGCGAGGGGGCCGTTTGGCCGAATTGGATGAACATGTTGGAAACCAGAGTGGCTTGTTTAAGAATCCGCAGGAGCGCGAGCGCAGGCATGTTTGAAAAATGAAGTTGCAAAACTATGTGCTGCATATGTGTTCGGGACAATCGATCCTAAAATCGCAACGAAATCGATGGGCTTCGACGGATTTCGGCATGCGCGCGCGACGACGCGCACGTGTGCACTTCGTCATGTTTGTTGTGCAAGGGATTCTCGCGACAGCACGCGCGCAAGGGCGTCCGGTCGATTCCGACATGCGTGCGCGAGAGGCCCGCGTGATAGCAAGTTACGAAGATGTTGAAAGCACATCGTTGTTTCTGAGAATTCGCCAGAGCTCGAGCGCAAGTTGCTCTTCGACAACTCTGGTAGCTTACGATTGATAGTTTTTGATAGCTTCTGAAGCCTCAGGTTGTTGTTCTTACGAAACCTCAGGTGTTTGATAGTTTCCGGCATGCGCGCGCAACGACCGACGCGCGTGTGTACACTTCGTCCCATTTTCTGCAACGGATTCTGGAAAGCTGCTGGTGTTTGATAAACGACTGCGCGCGCAAAATATCTGTTGCATCGGATGAGGGGGGTGTCGTCACTGGCCTACCTAGGACGGTGTGAATCCCACCAGCCCTCTGGGCGTAGGTGGTCTAGAGAGGCTCCTCTGCCAACTCCCTTTCTTCCTCTTCGGGGGAGGGTTTACTCCTCCCCCTCCCCCCCTCGAACCTGGACGGGGCGCCCCGCGAGCGGTCAGAGCATCGAAGATGGCCCAAGATGGCTCCAAGAAGGCCTCAGAGAGCCCAAGATGACTTCCAAGACGGCCCAATATAGCTCCCACGATGCTCCAAGAAGCTCCAAGACCGCTCCAAGACGGCTCCAAGTGGCCACGGAGCCTCCCCCCGAGGCTGCCAAGAGGCCGATTCCTTCAAAAACATATGGAAAATCAGTGAATGTTGCCTTCGCGCCTTTTTGCTGTCGATGGCCTTCCGAGGCCTCAAGATGGTCCCAAGAGAGCCCCGAGAAAAGCTCAAAAGAGCCCCAAGACGGCCCCAAGAGCGCCCAAGAGCGCCCCAGCAGCGCTTCAAGAGGCGCTCATTAGGCGATTTGGGGGGCTTCCGAGGGGGGGGACGAAGCAAGGAACCCCCCTTCGTTGATCGATCTCCTCGAAGATGGCCCCAAGAGCGCTCCCACGGCACCCAAGAGCGCTTCATGAGGGCGCCAAGAGGCGCCCAGGAGGCCCCAAGCGCCAAGAGGCGCCCAAGAGGCCTCCAAAAAGAATCCCAAAAGACCCCTTGAGGGCCCCAAGAGGCTCCCCGAGATAGACGCTTCAAGAGGCCTCCGGGACCGCCAAGGGGCCCCAAGACGCCCCAACAAGCCCCCAGGCACGCCGCTGGCCTCCTCCTCCTCCTCCTCCTCCTCCTCCTCTCCTCCTCCTCCTCCCTCCTCCTCCTCCTCCTCCTCTCCTCCTCCTCCCTCCTCCCTCCTGCTCCTCCTCCTCCTCTCTCCCCCTCCGCCTCCCCCTCCTCCTCCTCCTCCTCCTCCTCCTCCTGCTCCCTCCTGCTCCTCCTCCTCCTCCTCCTCCTCCTCCTCCTCCTCCTCCTCCTCCTCCTCCTCCTCCTCCTCCTCCTCCTCCTCCTCCTCGCTCTCCTCCTCCTCCTCCTCCTCCTCTCCTCCTCCTCCTCTCCTCTCCTCTCCTCTCCTCTCCTCTCCTCTCTCTCCTCTCCTCTCCTCTCCTCTCCTCTCCTCTCCTCCTCCCTCTCCCTCCCCTCTCCTCTCCTCTCCTCTCCCTCTCCTCTCCTCTCCTCCTCCTCCCCTCCTCTCCTCCTCCTCCCCCTTCCTTCTTCCTCCTGCCTCCTCATCAATCCGAATATTTCTCCCCCCCTCCTCCCTCCTCCCCTCTTCCCCCTCCCCCTCCTACTCCTCCTCCTCCTCCTCCTCCTTCTCCTCCTTCTTCTTCTCCTCCTCCTCCTCCCATCGTCCTCCTTCCCCTCCTCCTCGTCCACCTCCTCCTCCTCCTCTTCGTCCTCCTCCACGTTGTCTTCCTCCTCGTCCTCCTCGTCCGTCGCTCGTCATCCTCCTCCTCCTAGTCCTCGTCCTCGTCCTCGTCCTCCTCCTCCTCCTCCTCCTCCTCCTCCTCCTCCTCCTCCTCCTCCTCCTCCCCCTCCTCTCCCTCAGCCCCTCGTTCTTCTTCCCCGCTTTTCCTCATTCGGCAGGTCCGTTCGGCTGGTGCACCTCAGCGGCCGCGTCAACCCGCGCATGCTCACGCGCGAAACGGCCAACTAGTTTGGCGCGACAGGCGCGGCCGCGGTGGCCGCTGACCGCTGGGTACTTCCCAGCGGACACTCAGTGCGAGTCGGCGACTTGGGCGGGCGAGGTATCACGGCAACGTCGACAACGGTAGACACGATGATGGTACTAGCGATGCTGGTGACGATGATGACAACGACGACGGCAAGGCCAGTGACGACGCCGATGCTGATCACACCGACGATGATGACGGCGCCCTCGCGTCGGTGATGAAGGCTTCAGGCGGAGTTCGACATGCGCGCGCGGCCGACGCGCGAGTAACCCGCATGGTATCATTTGACACGGATCGTGCGCCCTCAGCACGCGCGCAAGGGCGTTCGAATGATTTCGGTATGCGTCACGAGAAACGTGTTTGGCCGAACGCAATGCAATGTTGAACACCACAATGGTTCGCTTAAGAATTCGAAGGAGCGCGAGCTCAGGCATGATTGATAACTTGTGTTGCAAAACTATGTGTTTTAATTGTGTTCCGGGGCACTCGATTCTGAAATCCCTACGACACCGAATGGTTTTGAAGAAGTTAAGCATGAGCGCGTGACGACGCGCGCGTGTTCTTCGTCACACGTGTTGCAAAAGGAGTGTTACGGCAACACGCGCGCAAGGTCGTTCGAGCGATTCCGACATGCGCGCGAGACGCACTGTTGCTAGCATGTGGTAAAACGTTTGAAACGGCAACGGCTGTCTTAGATGATCTGTGAAAAGCACGAGCACAAGCTCTTTTTCGGAAAGCCTGGTTTGGAAACAACGTGTTGTTTTAATAGTATCGGGGTACAGGAGTTTGAAATCCGTATGACGCCTAACGTTTTTGAGGGACATCGGCATGCGCGCGCGACGGCGCGTGCGTGCGCACTTCGTCCCGTCCTTTGCAAGGGGTCCTTGAAAACAAGAACGTCTTGCAGAGGATGAGGGGGGGGGGGGGGCGAGGCCGGCCTGCCTGGGATGGTAGGGATTCATATTTAGGATGGGCGATGGGGCAGAATCGCATGTGCACTGCAATACGATAAGGGGGACCGTGAAGCCCGGGCGGGGGAAAGGGGGATAGATCCGCAGACTCCTCCTTAGACAGGCGAGCCACTGTGGTGCAGACTGCGCGGTCCAGGCAGCGGGGGCGGCAACGAGGCGGCAGCGGGGCGGAGACGGCGACGACATGGCCGCCAGACCGCCACACGGGCCCAGAGGACGGGCGCTGTCCGTCGATGGGCTTCCCACCACTCGGTAAAAGTCCAACAGGCGAGGTATGGGAAACCCGAGGCCGCAGGGCGTCAGGCGCGACCCCCCCGACCTCAAAAAAGCTCTGCCGAGAATCATGGGAAGCCCATCGGCCGCCAGAAACCCCTGGGGCATCTGGCGGCCGATGGGCTCCCCGTAGTTCGGAATGGCGGGAAACCCACAGATGGACAAGTGTGACAGCTGCCCAGATGACGGGTGGCAGCGAGGCGGCGGCGGGGCGGCGACGGCGGCAACAGAGTCGCAGGACCGCCACACTGGCCCAGAGGACGGGCGGCGACGGGGCGGCGGCGGCGACAACTTGGCCGCCAGCTCCTCGGCAAGAAGCAAGAGCGCCTGAGTGTAAGCACTGCTGAAAAAGAATATGAGTAATGATACGAAGAGTAAGAAGAAGAAAAAGAAGAGGAATCAGAAAAATAAGCAGAGCACGAATAATAAGGAAACGAATGAGAAGAGGAATAAGGAGGAGGAGGAGGAGGAGGAGGAGGGGGAGGTTGTTGGGGACGGGCCTAAGAAGCCAGGGTGACCCAAGATCAGGCAACATCCGGCGCGTCGGAGTCCGACTCCTCCCCAGAGGGGGGCCGCAGGACGCGCCGAAGCCCCCCCCCGAGCCTTCACCCAGGGGAGGTCCTTGCCGGTGAAACCGCATCGGTCCAGGACCCGCTCTCGCGGGGCGAGGCCCTCATTCGCAGGCAGGCACAGGCTCCGCGGCACCAGAGGAGGGGCCAGCCGCCCCCATCCCGCGTCGCGGCCAGATCCTCCCGCTCGGCGAGGCCGAGGCCCCTGAAGGCCCCCAAACACCACGTTGTTGTTGCTCGCCTTGCTTATGAGACGGGAGCTTGCCAGGAAAGGGTTCTGCGAGGCTGGTCGGAGAGGCCCTCCGCGCCCTTTCTGAGGCCCGAGGTAAGTGCTCTGCAGGCCTTTCGAGGCCGAGCCGCCTCGCGAGGCCACCCCGCGCCTGCAGCAGAGCGCGAGCGTTCCCCTGGGCCCACGTTCGGTCGTCAAGACGGGCGCGCCTAGGGAGGCGTGCCCCTGATAGCTTTTTGTTGTTTTTTTCCTGTGGGATTCTCCGCCCAGAATCCGACGCCTGCCTTAAGGGGTCGTGGCTCCGCCGCCTACTCATATCCGGCCTCAAATACACTCGGCTGCCACAGGTAAGACAAAATGGCAAAATTCCACATAAAGCTGCTCTGGCTGACTTTGAGGGAGGGGGTGCTCGAGGGGAAAGAGAGGTCGAGGCCAGGAAGGCGTGCCCCTGATGACGGAACGAGCGTGCCCCTCCCACCCGTCCCCCAACTCCGACCCCCGCCCATCCTCCGAGACATCCAGAGAATGCGGGCCCTCGGTTTAGCACCTGGTCGGAACCCTCGGGTGGGGCCCCGCGGGGCGCCGCAACCTCGGCAGGGAAGGCCTAGCGTGTCCCGCGCCTCCTGGCGTGACAGGTGGACCTCGAGCGCAACGGCCCAGCGCCCAGCCTCGAGCGCCAGGCTGCGGAGCCCGCCAAAAGAAGCAGGCGTGCTCTTCTGTCACCGCATGCCTGTCTGCGCCAGCCTTTGCCAAGCGGTCGGCCGCATCGTTGGCCTTCGCTTCGGCTCCCAGCGAGACGATCTGCCAGCGCCGATTTCGCTAGACGTGGCATGCGCCTTCGTTTGGAAAGCCTCGACGTCCTTGGGCTGGAACGTCCTCCAAAAGGGCCCCCTGAGGTGGCCCGTGGGGGCCCCAGGGCCCGTGGAAAACCCAGGGCCCTCAACGAGGGCAGGATGAGGAGGAGGCAAGGAGGAGGAGGGGGGGGGCAGGAGGGCAGGGGGAGGGGGGGGGGAAGGCTGTGGGAGGAGGAGAGGCAGAAGGAGGAGGAAGGAGGGGAGGAGAAGCGAGGAGGGAGGAGGAGGAGGAGGAAGCGAGGAGGCAGAGGAGGAGGAGGAGGACCGAGACCTTCCCCCGCGCGAGCTCGGGGAGCCCCGCCGACGGCCCCGCGGCCAGCCGCAGCATCAGCATCAGCTCGGCGTGGAGCTCCCGGCGCGCCCTGCGCAGCCGGTTGCGCCCGAGGGCCGCATGCAGCCGCACGGTGGCGGCGGCGCTGACCCAGTTGCCCTCTAGCCTGAGGTCTGCCAGCCTCTCCTCCTCCTTCTCCTCCTGCTCCGCCTCCTGATTCCTCCTTCTCCTGCTCCTCCTGCTCCTGCTCCTCCTCCCCTTCCTCCTCCTCCTCGTCCTCCTCCTCCTCCTCCTGAAGCACCTCCTCCTCCTCCTCCTCATCCTCCTCCTCCTCTTGGTAATCCGCCTCCTCCCCCTCCTTCTGCTCCTCCTCCTCCTCCTGTCCTTCCGCATTCTCCCCCTCCTCCTCCTCCTCCTCCTCCTCCTCCTCCTCCTCCTCCTCCTCTTCGTCCTCCTCTTCCTCCTCCCCCTCCTCCTCCTCCTCTCCTCCTCCTCCTCCTCCTCCTCTTCCTCCTCCTCCTCCTCCTCCCTGTTGTGTCCTCCTTCCCCTCCCCTTCTCCTCCTCTCCTCCTCCTCCTCCTCTCCTCCTCTTCCTCCTCCTCCTCTCCCTCATCCCCCTCGTCCTTCTTCTTCTTCTTCTTCTTCTTCTTCTTCCTGCCTTCTTCCCTCATCCTCTGTTCCCTTTTCCTCCTCCTCCTACTCCTCCTCCTCCTCCTCCTCCTTCTCATCCTCCTCCTCCTCCTCCTCCTCCCCCTCCTCCTCTTTCTCCTCCTCCTTCATTCCCATTCCTTATACACAACTTCTCACTGTCGCACCCCGAGGCCAGTTTTTAGGGCGGTCCGGGCGTTTCGTCTGGGACGTCCTTAACAGTTCTGACCCTGAAGCTCAAACATTGCAAGAACATCACAAATGTTGGGCGGATGGTTTAGAAAATGTGGCTCTCGTCTCAGCGCCGCGCACATTTATTTCAAACAAGTACAAGAGCTTCACGGATTTAGGTCGGTTCCTTTTCAAAATGTGGTTCTCGCCTTAACGCCGCGCGCATTCATTCCAAAAACTTGCAAGAGCTTCACGGATTGAGGGCGGTTCCTTTTCAAAATGTGGCTCTCGCCTTAGCGCCGCGCGCATTCATTTCAGAAACAATGCAATAGTTTTACGGATTGAAGGCGGCTCCTTTTCAAAATGGGGCTCTCGCCTTAGCGCCGCCACATTCGTAGTAAAAGACTGCAGCAGTTTCACGGTTTCCCATGATCAGCGTACCAGACATTGTGTTTTGGAAGGATTCCGGATTATGAGGGAGTAACAGTAACGTTGATTCGCAGTGCTGGAGTCCCAGGAATGGCTGTCTGGCACGATTCCGGATCGTCAAGACGCAACAGTCAGATTGATCCGTGGCGTTGGAATCCAGTGAACGATGTTTTGGCATGCGTCAGGGTCTTCAAACGGTTGTTTTCCAACGAGGCAGTTCCCCCAGTGGACAGGAACCCTTGTAGAGGCCTATGAAGAGGGAGCTAGGAGGGAAGGTTTATTCTAACATCGTTGATGACTCTTGGGTTTGCACTGGTCATCCTCTATCCTCCTCCTCCTCCTCCTCTGACTCCTCCTCTGACTCCTCCTCCTCCGCAGCAGCAGCATCAGCATCAGCATCGTCATCAGCATCAGCATCAGCATCAGCATCAGCATCATCAGCAGCATCACCATCAGCAGCATCATCCTCAGCATCATCATCATCAGTAGCAGCATCATCAGTGTCATCATCAGGACCATCATCAGCACCACCACCATCATCATCGTCATTATCGTCAGCATCATCATCATCATCATCATCATCATCATCATCATCATCAGCAGCATCAGTATCATCATCAGCATCATCATCGTCAGTATCAACATCATAATCGTCATCGTCAGCATCAGCATCGGCATCATTATCATCATCAGCATCATCATCACCACCACCAACAACATCAGTACCACCATCATCGTCATCATCAGCACCAACAACATCATCATCATCCTCATCATCATCATCATCATCATCATCATCATCATCACATCATCATCACCATCGCCACTAGCATCAACATCATCATCATCATCATCACCACCATCATCACCATCATCGTCATCGTCATCGTCTTCGTCGTCATCATCATCAGCATCAGCATCATCCTTTTCATCCCCTTCCCGTCCTCCTCCTGCTCCGTCGTCTTCCTCCTCCCTCCTCGGGGGGAACGCACACACAGAGAGATATCGACACGGCTGATCCGCAGGCCTCTCCCGGTGCTCGCTCTGGCGAGAACGAAGAGAGGGTAGCTTTGGGTGCGGAATTTGTCAGAAACATAAGAAGACAGTCAACCATACTCAAGCATAGTCAGAAAATGATAGAAAATCGTCACCATACTATTCTTTGACCATTCTTGAATACTCCTCCTGTAGAGGGACATGCCCGAATCCAGGGTAACTGTATCGACACAGCGCGGGATGCGCGGTACGGCCGGACCACGGACAACAGAACATCCTTCAAGACCATGAGGCCCTGCGCCAGCCAAACTGAAGAACACTCGAGGGTACCATCCCCCAGGATGCACAGGAAAATCCAACAAGCATGAAAAACATAAAGGTACCCTCCCCGAACCGACCTCTATCTTGTAACTGGGTCCGACCGTAAGGATTCAAGGGCAGTGGGCGCCCAAGTTGAAGCCTTGCGAGCGACAATGGCCAGTGACAGTGGCCACGGATAGCCCGAAGATGCAAGGACGAGAGGGCACCCTTTTAAAAACACGCATTCTCACGATCCTGGTTGACTGTACCTGTCCCTCCCTCTTGGGCACCTGGATTATCCCAGATCTGGTCCGGGTAAGATCTGGTTTGGCGTCCCCAAGTGATCGAGGGAAGCCCTGGACACGCTTGATCCAGGATGACTCCTGATTCAAGAGAGAACTGGCCAATATACCTACACGGGGCAGAATTTGACTCAGGAAAACTCGGGTTGAGTGCAGTCTGGGGCAACTCCGGACGAAAACGAGAGGCCCGATCCGGAGTCACCCCTGACCACCCCCTGCCCTGATAACACGGGGCTCTGAGCCTTCCTCCTCCTCCTCCTCCTCCTCCTCCTCCTCCTCCTCCTCCTCCTCCTCCTCCCCCTCCTCCTCCTCCAAGCGTCCTCCCGCTGCAGCCTGAGCTCCACGAGCCGCACGCTCGATTCCTCCTTGTGGGCCACGCCCTCCTCCTCCTCCTCCTCCTCCTCCTCCTCCTGCTGTGTCCTCCCACGCCTCCACCTTCTCCTCAACAACCACCACCACCACCTCTCCTCCCCTCCTCCTCCTCCTTCTCCACTCTGTTTCCTCTGTTTCTCCTCCTCCTCCTCTTGTCCTTTGTCCTCCTCTCCTCCTCCTCCCTCCTCCTCCTCCTCCTCCTCCCCCTCCTCCTCCCCCTCCTGTGTCCTCCTCCTCCTCCTTCTCCTCCGCCCCTTCCTCCTCCTGCTGTTCCTCTGTCTCCTCCACCACCACCACCTCCTCCTCCTCCTCCTGTGTCCTCCTCCTCCCCCTCCTCCTCCTCCTCCTCTTCCTCTTCCTCCTGCTCCTGCTCTGTTCTCCTTTTCCTCCTCCTCCTCCTCCTCCACCTCTACCTCCTCCTCCTCCTCCTCCTGCTCCTCCTCCGCCGCCTCCTCCTCCTCCTCCTCCTCCTCCTCCTCCTCCAGCCTCCTCCTCCTCCTCCCGCTGCCGCCTGAGCTCCACGAGCCGCACGTTCGCCTCCAGGGCCGATGTGAGGTGGGCCACGCCCTCCTCGCCGATGCTGTTGCCGCGGAGGTTGACCGCCGTCAGCGAGCCGCTGCACCTCGAGCAGAGTGCAAAACATACCCCCTGAGAATAGCCACCCCGACACGCAAGGCCGTCTAGTAAACGCACCCAAACAAGGAATCATACAGGGCAAGGCCGTTTAGTAATGCGGGATGACGATTAATTAAAAAATGAGAGAGAACGATTAAGACATAGTTTTCTGCTATTTCTGCACAATTTTCTGACTGGAGGATAACGACTAAAAACATAGTTTTCCAGCCCGCGGCCGGTTTTTTCTAATCGTCATCCTGGGCGCCGCCGCGTGAACACGACCCCCAGCCATTTATTAATCGTCATCCTCCATTAAGACCCACGCCGACACGCAAGGCCGTGCAGTAAACGTACCCAAACAAGGAATCATACAGGGCAAGGCTGTTTAGCAAACGCCCAGGGCCGTGTAGTAAACGCCAATCGTCGGTCCGGGTGGCTGTTCCTTCCTTGATCGAGGGGGGCGGCGCGGAGGGTCGGATACCGACCTCGGCGGCGAGCCCGGGAGGGGGGGAAGGAGACAGGGGCAGGCCTTCTCGGAAGGCGGCGGAGCTCCTCTGAGGGCCTGCAGCCTTCTGAGAGGCCGTCCATGCCTTCGGAGGAGGCTTCGAGCTTCCCAGGAGGCCGGAGGCCTTCCGAGCCTTCTTAGATGGCCCGCCTCCTTCGACTTCACCCCCGGTCTGGCCGCCGAGGACCACTTCGAGGATCGAGCTTCGAGCCTCGAGGATACGGCCGAGAACTTTTGCTCAGCGTGTCGCAGCGGCGGCCCCGGCGACACGCTGTGCCATGCGGGCGGACAGCATGTCGCTCCGCAGCGCGGGAGGCTGGGAAGGCTCGGGGTGTCGACGGTCGGGAGATCAGACGCGGTCAGCGTGTCGCCACGAAGCGTGGCGGCGTAGCACTGGCGCCGCGACAGGCTAGGCCGAAGCTCCCGACCGCGGGGCTTCGATCCGGTTTTGCGCCGAGCGCCGCTTCGGGGCCCCTGGGCGGCTCCCCTTGGGCACGGCTGCATCCGCCCATGTGTGAAAATTAAAATTTTGTGCCGTGAATTGTTTTTGTCATTTGCATTGTGGTCTGAAAATAGGGGCATTAGCCATGACGATTCGTTGGAAATGGATGACAAAACGTCGGTTTCACTTCGTCGCAAGTGAAGGTCGCAAATGAATCAAGCTCTGGCCCACGCGCGCCTCAAGCTGTGCCCGAGGCCGCTCGCCGACCCCCGGGCACCCAGACCTCCCGGCGGCGCGGCAACGTCACTTGGCAGGGCGTCGGTGACCCCTCTGCCTCCATCGGGGGCGGCCAAGAGGGGGGTGTCCAAGAGGGGGGGGGTGCACATCATGACCGGCGGCACGTGCGCGGCCCAGCGGGGGGGCCAGGGACGCAACGAAAGGAGGAGGGGCGCCCTGAGATCTGGGGGAACTTATCATGGCCCCCGCCATGCTATCCACCCCCCCCTGGTCATCACCCCCCGCTTTGCCGCCCCCGGCTTCGGTGCCTCCTCGGCCTCCGGGGCCCGGGCCCGTGCCCCGGGACGGCCAGCAGGACGCCTCGGCGCGAAACACAGCGGCCAGGCCTCCGGGGCCCCCGCTGCCCCCCAAAAAAGGGGCCCCGGCGGCGGCGGCCCGGGGGGGCCCGCCGCTGCGTCGGCCGAGGGCCGGCGGGGGGCCGGAAGGGGGCTGGGGGACGCGAGCGAGGCGGGGGAGCGCCGCAGAGGGGGGCGGGGTCATCGACCCAGCTAGTTTTCTGTCGGGCCTGTCCCCCTGCAGGGGGATTTCCGAAGAAACATAGAAAATACCCCCAAAAGTACCCCAAGAGGGCCAACTTATCCCGGCAAAGCAACCTAACAGCGATGTGTAGGAGCATATCTGGAAGATTTCCCCTTAAGATTCAGATGAGAATCCAGTTGTAGAATTCTGCTGTTCTCGCAGTCGTAGTCGCATTCGCGATGACAGTCGCAGTGGCAACGGCAGTCGCAGTCACAGCCTCAGCCTCAGCCTGCCTCAGCCTCAGCCTCAGCCTGCCTCAGCCTCAGCCTGCCTCAGCCTCAGCCTCGGCCTGCTTCAGCCTCAGCCTCAGTCTGCCTTCAGCCTCGGCCTCAGCCTCAGCCTGCCTCAGCCTCAGCCTGCATCAGCCTCAGCCTCAGCCTCAGCCTGCCTCAGCATCAGCCTGCCTCAGCCTCAGCCTCAGCCTGCCTCAGCCTCAGCCTCAGTCTGCTTCAGCCTCAGCCTCAGTCTGCCTTCAGCCTCGGCCTCAGCCTCAGCCTGCCTCAGCCTCAGCCTGCCTCGGCCGCAGCATCAGCCTGCCTCAGCATTCAAAATGTGGCCCGGAATGGAGTTCTGGGAACTCGAAGAACACGAAGTGGCCTACAGTTGGCTCCGGGCATTCAAAATCATGCCCAGGAATGGAGTTCTGGGAACTCGAAGACCACGAAGTGGCCTACAGTTGGCTCCGGGCATTCAAAATGTGGCCCGGGAATGGAGTTCTGGGAACTCGAAGAGCACGAAGTGGCCTACAGTTGGCTCCGGGCATCCAAAATGTTGCCCGGGAATGGAGTTCTGGGAACTCGAAGACCACGAAGTGGCCTACAGTTGGCTCCGGGCATCCAAAATGTGTCCCGGGAATGGAGTTCTGGGAACTCGAAGACCACGAAGTGGCCTACAGTTGGCTCCGGGCATCCAAAATGTACGCCGGGAATGGAGTTCTGGGAACTCGAAGACCACGAAGTGGCCTACAGTTGGCTCCGGGCATCCAAAATGTACGCCGGGGATGGGGTTCTAGCAGCGCCAAGAGCGATTTTGCGAGGATGTCCCAGGCGATTTGGGCTTCGACGGCAACCGCCCCGGGTCCCGCCCGACCCCCCCCTGAGGAGTCATGATGCTCTCTTTTGAAACCACTAGAAACCTATCAGCAAAAGCTGTTGGGTAAAAATATGCAGAACATAGTCCCCGGACTATTGTTGGACTATTTCTTAATATTTTTTTTGATATTTTTAATTTGTCGTCGAAAATCCCCCTGTAGGGAGACAGGCCCGAGCTAAAGCTAGTTATCGGCGATGCACTGTCCCGGGTAAATGCAGGCCAGGGTCAGTCGGGCCTTGCAAGATCCGGCACTCTGGCTGACCCCCATTTGCATGGACCCCCGCCTCAAAGCCCCCGAAGCTGCACGCCGCTGGTTTCCCTGGCGCCTCCACGCGCCAGAGACGAGCAGCACCTGGGCGACTCGGGACGCCGCCGCATTCCGCCGACCGACCCTCCGCCGGCTTCCGCCGACGCGCACCCGCCACCACTCGGCTCCCAGACGTCGTGCGCTGTCCTGATTTTCGACACGCGGTCCCCAGAAGTCCCGGGCAGCTCTTCCCCAGCCCCAGCGCTCCACCCCGAGTCCACGACTTGCGGTCCCAGGGCCCGGTCCCCAAGGGCCCACGGCGGCCGAAAACCTCCCGTCGTGTCTTTTGTTGCGGCGCGAGCATGTCTGGGCTTCCTCCGCCACCTCCTGAACACATGAAAACGCCCCCCGCCCCCCCACATCAGGAACTTCAGACGACTGGGACCGTCAAACGACGCGCGAACTGAGAGCGGAAAAGGCTCGACGGTCAGCCAACGACGACGCCGCGACAGGCGAGGGGCTCGCCCCGGGAGGCTCCCCCCGGCCCTCCGCGGGCTAACCGCCGAAGGCGAGCCGCGCCGCGAAGGAGCGCCACGCGTATCCAGGGGCAGGCCGGGCTGCGGCGCCCCCACCGGCGCTGTATCCGTCTGGACGCCCAGAGCGGGTGCGTAAAGCGTGGGCACGGTGCCCAGCCTGGGACGGGGTCCAAAACCGGCCGCGGCCGCTGTTTTAGGCTACGGTGTGAGGGCATCGGGTAAGGAACCCTTGGATAAGAAATCCAGGGTCCGGAAGACAGTAGAACCCCAGTGGAGGCGTGGCCATGGACATCACCGCCGCCCCCCTCAGATGAGGAATGGCCCAGGGTCTGATGCCTCCTGGACACGTTCCTAGACAAACACCCCCACCGTAGCGATTTCTTGCCCAAGCGGACAACACCCGCGGCGACACAGGCAGCGATCCTGCTCAGGCTGGACAGCACCTGCGGTCGGCCTTCCTCCCAATCTGTCCATACCAACTTCGATCGTGCCGAATCCAGCAGATCTCGCGGCCCCGCCCCTCCCCCCCCCTTTGCTCCGCCCCTTCACCTGGACACCTGCCCGAGGGGGGACCCCCTAAGAAAACCCATCCAAAGCTCCCGGAAATCTGGTTGGGAGGGTTTTCCCTCGCGGAGGGCTCCGCGAACCTGGAACTTTGGGAGGTTCGCCAGGGACCCCCTCCCTGACCCTCCCAACAGCGATCCTTGATGGGGGCTCTGAAAAAGCAAGCCGCCCCCGATCCCCACCAGAGCCCCCGACGGCGTGAGCCGCGCGGACACGGCGCGGCGAGCTCACGGCACTGCGTCGGGAGGGGTGGGGCTCTCGCACGGCGCACCGGGCGCAGAGCTTCGACGACGGGGGGGAGGCTCACCGCGGAGCTCCTCACCCCTCCCCATGCCCCTCCCGGTCCCTCCCTTTAGCCCCCCCCCCCTCCTCGTCCTCCCCCTCTTCCCCCTCCTCTTAATCCTCCCACCCCGTGCTCCCCCTCTCCTCCTCGTCCTCACGTCAGCCCCCTTCCTCATAAACAAATCACCACTGCCGTACTCCGAGACGTGTCGGTACGGCGGGCCTGGCGTTTCGCCTAAGACTTCCTCATCCTTTGCGATGTGTAGCAATTTCACGGATGGAGGGCGGGCGGTTTCAAAATGCGACTTCCGCCGCAGCACCGCACACATTTGCCACACACGCTCGTCAAAAAAACTTGCAGGAGCTTCATGGATGGAGGGTAGGCGGTTTCCAACGTGCGGCTCTTGCCTTAGCGCCGCGCGCATTCGTCTTAACAGCTTGCAAGAGCTTCACGGAGGGAGGGCGGCTCTTATCCAAAACGAGACGCTCGCTTTGGCGCCGCGCACATTCGTCTTAAACGTTGGAAGCAGCCTCACGGATGGAGGGCGGGCGGTTTGGAACCCTTTTCGTTTTCGATCTGGCGCCGCGCACAGTCGTCGCAACAAGTTTGCAAGATCTTCACGGATGGAGGGCGGGCGCTCTTCGAAACATGCCTCTCGCCTGAACGCCGCGCACATTCGCCACAGAAGTTCGCCAAAGAGCTTCACGGATGGAGGGCGGGCGGTTTTCGAAATGCGGCTCTCGCCTCGGCGCCGCGGGCGTTCGTCTTAAAATGGTGCGAGACCTTCACGGATGGAGAGAGGCTCTTTTTCAAAATGAGGCTCTCGCCTGAGCGCCGCGAACAACCGTCTTGAGAGGTTACATCCGTTCCAGCGGTTGTTATGGCTGGCGTCCCAGAAGTTGTGCGTGGGCACGGTGTGGGACTTGCAGGACCCGACGCGACGGCAACCTTGACTCGCCGCGTTGACATCCCAGAAGTGGTGTTTTGGCACGGCGCATGATTGGGAGCCTATGAAGAGGGAGCTTGGAGGGAGGGTGTACTGCAGCATCGTTGATGAGCATTGGGCTTACACGGGCCTTCTCCTCCTGCTCCACCTCCTCCATAACTTCCTTCTCCTCACCCCTTTTCCCCCCTCACTCTTCCTCGTCCTCTGCCTCATGCTCATCCTCATCGTCCTGCTCCATCTCCTGCTTACTCCCTCCCTTTCCCTCCTCTCATCGCCCCGTGCTCAGGCGGGGCCGGCTTAGCCCAGAGGTACATCGGCGAGTCAGTTGTCCAGAGGGTTGAGCAGTCGGCCCTGCTCGCGAGTGCGACCTGACGGGAGGCTCTGCCCGTCCCGCGGGAGGGGGCGGGGGCTCGGCGAGGCCCTCGCGGAGAGGGCCGTGGCTAGCCAGCCCCTCGCTGAGCCAGGCCACCCGCGACTCGCGCCCCGCGATGCGCGCGCAGGCTGGGCGCGGGCACGGCCGTGTCGCGAACTGCGGTCCCCGCGGTCGCCTCCTCGTTGACGCACCTTCTCCTGCTCTGCCTTTCCCCGCCGCCTCGGCATGCAGCAGGTCTATCAAAGCACACGCACAGCAAGTAACCCCACTGAGCACCAAGGGCAACGAGACAAACTCTCTGGAGCCCAGGCGCACCGAAAGCGACCGCGCCGCGTAGAGCTCCTCCTCCTCCTCCTCCTCCTCCTCTTCCTCCTCCTCCTCCTCCTCCTCCTACTCCTACTTCTCCAGCTGCTCCTCCTCCTCCTCCTCCTCCTCCTCCTCCTCCTCCTCCTCCTGCTCCTGCTCCTGCTCCTGCTCCTGCTCGTCTTCCTCCTTCCCATCCTCCTCATCCTCCTCCTCCTCCTGCTCCTCCTCCTCCTCCTGCTCCTGCTCCTCCTGCTCCTGCTCCTGCTCCTGCTCCTCCTCCTTTTTCCTCCTCCTCCTCCTCCTCCTCCTCCTCCTCCTCCTCCTCCTCCTCCTCCTCCTCCTCCTCCTCCTCCTGGGTGGCGAATGTCGCTATCGACGTGCGTGGCTTGGGCCGCCCCTGGGCCTCAGGGCGCGGGCGAGGGCCTCGGCGCCCACGCAGGAAAGCCCGTTGGCCGCGAGGTTCACCTGGCGGCGGGGAAGGGCAGTAAGACGCAAAGCGGCGACAGCGTCAGGGACGAGCCTCCCCTTCACTCTCCTCATCCATCGCCCTCCTCCTCCTCCTCCTCCTCCTCCTCCTCCCTCCTCCTCCTCCTCCTCCTCCTCCCTCCTCCTCCTCCTCCTCCTCCTCTCCTCCTCCTCCTCCTCCTCCTCCTCCTGCTCCTCCTGCTCCTGCTCCTCCTGCTCCTCCTGCTCCTGCTCCTCGAGCACCGACTCGCAGCGGCCCTCGTCCCTGGGCCGAGCCGCGCCGCGCCACTACCCGGCCCTCCCCGCGCACTGCACAGAGCTCCGCCGCGAGGGCGAGAGCCCCGCCGAGGGAGGAGGACGAGAGGGGGAGGGATGCCCCGCCTGGTCGGTCCGGTTCCCCTCAGACCGAGTGCACGGACACCGCGGCGAGGATCCAGTTCACGGCATACTCAGAGACATCACCAAAACAAAACCAGCAATCAGAAGATAAGTAGATTCCCAAATCACTATACCCACTTCACATTCACTGACATAGCGTATCTCTGCTTACCAGAAGAAAATCCATGCTGTAAACCGCCGTGTCGCACACAGTAGATAATGAGGCAGAAGGCTCCCATCCCTCAAGAGACGAGAACTGGCTCAACTTCATGCGGCCCCGCAGGGCCTTGGCTGAGACTCTCGCGGCCCTCCGCGGAGGGCTGGGGCGGCTTACCTCCTGCGATGCTTCCTGCGCTGCCCCGTGCCCGCCTCCCCTCCCTCATCTTCGTCAGCTCCACCGTTCTTGAACTCCTGCAACCACTTGAGCAGCGGGCCGTCCAAGGTGCGTTGAGGGGACGCATACAACTGGTCATTACGAATGGCAAACAAATCTTTGAGCTTGGACCTGAACTCGATGTCGCACTGCTCCTGCATCATGAAAGCCCACACCCATGGGCGGCCCTCCTTGTAGGTCGGGTGGCGCGGCCGCGCACGAAAGATAATATTGTCCAGGATCTGAGGGGCGATCGCGGCGTACTTGGCGACCAGGGCCTTGGACTCCGCACTCACCTCGGCGCTGGCGTCCAGTTTCTTCTGCAGCAACTCCATCAAGCACTTGAAGATCACCGAGCGCTGACTTCCACCGAGCTGGTGCGGCCTCATCTCCTTGGGCGCGCCCATGCCCACGTCATCTCCGCCACCTCCCACCTCGTCGCGCCTGGCCTTCTCGTCCGTGCGCCACAGGTCCCGCAGGGTGCTGACCGTCTTCTTTTCCTCTTCGCCCTTGACGATGATCACGAAACTGGCCCGGTCCTCCAAACAGCCCACGCGACGGTCCAGCGAAATCAGAATCGGCGCTATCTTCCGCACCACCGTGTAGGCCGAGGCCTTGCTGGGGTCGTCGCCTCTGCCACGACCGCGAGCCTGCTGCTGCGGAGGGCCACCACCATTGGACGATTCCGCTGCTGCCACCAGAGCTAAGAGCGACATGGGTCGGTGACCCTGGGAGTAGAAAGCCAGTTCGTCTCGGAGAACACACCAGTCTCGATAAGCTCGAGCATGCACAGCTACAGCGGGAGGCCCGAAATTTTGCGGTGGTGCTGGCAACGCTGAAAGTGCTGAGTGAGGTTGTGTTGCTTCTCGAACTTGGTGTTGCAATACTTGCACTGGAATTGCCATGACGCGATGCTTGCCTGGGTATGCTGCTTGTCTCTGCGTGCTGCGCGATGCCGAACCCCCTTCACCCATACCTCGAACGGCGCGTGCGTGCACGTGTAGATATGATCCATCGTGCTCACCGACTGGCCACAGTACTTGCACGAGAACGTCGCCCCCCTGGTGCTCACCTTTTTCCTGACCTTCGTCTTGGCAGTAGCTTTTGCTAGACGACGACCACGACGAGGAGGGGCCTTCGGCTTGGGGTCCTGCTGTGGGGGTCCATGTCCTTGGTCTCTGGGAGCATCTCGTGGGGGCTGTTTCCCTCGGTACCTTCTCCTCCTCGTATTCGGCTGCTCTCCTCCGCCTCCTCCATCCCCACCTGCATCTCCTCCTCCTCCTTGCTGCCCAGGGTGGGGTAGTCCAGGTGGGGGTCCCGCGAGAGGCCGTGGTGCCGTAGGCTGCTTGCCTCGGATCCTTCTCCTGATAGGTGGGGCTCCTGGGAAACTGGGACGGTGAGCACACTTGCGGACATGGTCGGCATACGATCGATTCGATATCACCACGTTGCAATGCGGGCAGACCTGGGACGATGACATGAGACGTTGTTTTTCTGGCCGAAGCTGACCTGAACAATGTCGTACATGCTTGGCATAACCATTTGGGCGCAGGTGGTCGCCGCACTTCGGGCACACACGCAGCTGCGCACCACCGTGGCCCGTCGTCTCCACCCTCGCCGCGAGCTGGGGGTTCTCGGCAGGCGGTCTGTCGCCAATCTCGGCGTTGGCGGCGGCATAGGCGCTGGCATGGACCTCCTGCTTGACCTTTGCTGCCAGCGCCGACCACTGCTTGCCTGCCTCGATCTGCGCCACCTCTCTCCAACGAGCGTGCCACTCGTCCACTGGGATCTGGGTCTTGGCCATCACGCGCTGGATTTGTCGCCAGTACCATTGTCGTAAATGAAGGTGTTGTCCTGAGGGCTCGGCCCGCCCGGGGCGATCCGCCAACGCTGCTCCCAGCATCCGAACTTCCCAACGGCTGGCGTCGTAGCGGCCCAGGTGGCCCAGGTAGGAGACAGCGCGATGGGTGACCTGCACCTCTAGCAGCTCGATCCCGAACCACTCGTAGAGCATCGCCACGTTTATTTTCTTGGTCTGCATCTGGCGGAGCGTGAGACCACGAGCGCGATAGGCCAAGTATCGGACGCAGCTGCCCACGAACGCCTGCATGCGGTCCAGGTCCTTGGCCGAGTACGCCCTCACCTCGCTGCCATACAGGAGGCAGCCCAACACCGCTGCCGTGAAAATCTGGCCCTGAGCTTTCAGCGGAAGGCGGGCTGCACTGAGCTGGTACTTCAACTTGGCCCAGACCTTGGAGGCTGCTTGGATCCGCTTGCTCGTGTCCATCCTGGCTCCCCCATCGGTGTCGACCCAAGCCCCCAAGACACGCACGGTGCGGTGAAAACCCGCTGGAAGCGTGCTGGTCACGTCGTAGACCCCTGTCCTCAGAAACTCGTCCTTGCCAGGATGCACCTCCTCGCCTCGGTCGCCCAGCGTGTCGAACACGATCTGCTTGGTGGTGTCCAGATGTTGGGCCTCGGTCCACGACGACGTGTCGTCGGCAAACCCCATGACACGGAGAGTTTCCTGGGTAACGTCGTCGGGGTCTCGCCAGGACTGTCGACCCATAGCACACCGAAGCCTTTGCGAACAGAGGAGATTGATGCCAGGTAACTTGGCTAACAGCTCGGTCAGGGAGTAGTTGTGGTAGACGTTGAACAAACCACAAGAACTGGCACATCCTTCCCGTAATCCTCGATGCAGGCGGTAGACTGAGGAGGTGCCGTGGCATAACTTGACCTGATACTCCGTCTCGGTGTGTAGGCGGCGAAACACTGCAACAATCGTCGGCGGCAGACCTTCGATCTCGAGGGCTTCCCAGAGAGGTTCTCGGGGAACAGTCGGGTACGCCTTCTTGATATCTGCCAGGTACAGAACTGCCCGCTTCTTTAGAAAAGTGTCGTGCGCCTGTTCCCACTCGTCCCTGTGGTTGTCCCACGTCCCCGCCCTTTCGAACGCTGCCCTGGAACGGTGGAGGTGTAGCTCCCATTCGGCATATAGCTCGCATATCACTCGGGTAATGAAAATAATATCCCTGGTGGAGCGCCCTCTGCGGAAACCCCACTGCTCGTTGACAAACAGTTTCTGGTTCTCGAAATACTGCGTAGCACGAGTGATCGCTATCTTGGCAAGAATTCGTGTCAACATCGTCAGAAGGCAGATCCCGCGATAGTTGTCGAGCGATGTCCGTGATCCCTTCTGCTTCCACAGCATCAATACTATGGCCTGGTGTGCCGCTGGGTTCCAGTGCGGTTGGGCCCCCCTCTTCGGCGCCTCCTCCCACATAGCAACAATTACCTCGAAAACCCGCTGCTGCGTCGTGAGCGGAGCGTTCCTCAGCATGTCGATGTTCACCTCGTCGCCTCCTGGGGCGGAGACCCGCATGCCCTTCATCGCACTGACGAACTCGGCAAACTCGGGCAGCGCGTCGAGGTCCAGGGCGGGCGGCTGCTGAGGCTTGCGGGCTGCAACACGGACTCGGGGGGTAGCCTCGGTCCCGCTGATCGCTTCGAAGTGTCGGCGACAGTCCTCTGGTTTGATGGTTTCGACATCCTGGAAATTCGTATCCTTGAGCGTGACCCCCAACTCCTTCAACAGTCCAAATTGTCGGCCCACCTCGTGATTCTGATAGGCCCATTGTATATCGCTGCAGAGCTCCTTGATGACCTGACCCTTTTTGTGGAACTCGAAACTCCTCTCGGCTTTCTTGACCTGGGCGTGGCGCACCTTTTCCTGGGGAAACTCGGGGGTACCTTTGGCTCGCTGCACCTGACGATAGCTGGCAGCAACTCGCTCGCGACTCTTCATCAGATCGGGGCGACACTTCTCGAGACACGGCAGGTCGCAGCGACGACTCCCTCGCCCCACTACCTCCTCGGCAACGTCGACGAGACTCTTGGCAACTTCGCCCCACTCGGGTGGTTCGACTCGGGGGGCACTGGCAAAATCGGTGTCGATCGTCGTCAACTTCGTCATCCATTTCTGTCGCAGGTCCTGGGCGGTGTCCCCCATCCCCCGAGCACGGTCCCATCGAAGAGGTTTCTTGGGCTGGTCGGTCTGGTGGGCCTGGAGTTGTCGCCGTCCTGGGAGAAGAGCACGACCAAACGGGAGAAACGACAAAAACTTCCCACGGTGGTCGCAGCCTGCAAATTCCATCGTCGTCGCTCGGCGCCATCGTCGACGAGTCCCCCCGAAGGTAGATAGAAACACATCTTGCTCGTACCATCGCTTGGTTACTCCATGAAACCATGTGCCACGCCTCTTGCATGGTATGTACGAATCCACTGCACGAAGACTCTCGCCCTGGGCCCAGTCGACAAGCTGGTGCGATAGCTTCGACGTCGGAGTGGTGAGGGTCATGCCGCCAACGAACCCCGAGCTCGCTTCCCCCCGCTGATCTGCGCCCAGATGAGAGTTGGCGTCTCCCCCGATGATCACCTGGCATCCCGAACGGCGCAGATTCTGGAGAAGCAAAGTGCCTTGTTCGAAGTGGGCCTTCCTGAGGTTCTTGGCTGCACTGGTCCCCTGGGTTGGAGCATACTGGGCACATATCACATACTGGGTGCCCTGCAAACGAAAACGCATGCCCAGCCATCTGTCCGAGTCGGGCGGAACGGCCATCACGGATCCATCCTGCTGCTTCTAGTTACTAGATATCTGGATAAAACAATGGCCACCTTGCCGAACACAAACATCGTAAACTCTTCCATTCCACATATAGCTGGGACTCGTTCTCTTCCAAAAATCCACTCCGGTGTGTGCACGTCGGACAGGAACATGATATGAGCACGTTCGGTACGCATGCGGCTGACAATGTGTGCTAACATACTGCGATACATAATCTGGGTCCACGACATCTGCTGCACATTCAACGTCCCAATACGAAGCTCCACGGGCCTCTGGGGGGCATTGCAGGCATGCCATTTTCGTCGGAGACGTAGAGCTCTGCCAGCGCTGCATGAAGAAAGCCACGTATACGATGGCGTTGCGGTTGGCGATGAACGATCGGACGCAGGGACGCCAAACACCTGCGCGCGAAAGGCTCGGGGCCTCTGTAGTTCTGTGAAACCTTTTGTCTCGAGGCCGACCATCATGACGGACTGTCCCAATGGAGATTCCCACTGACCTGCTATCTGGTGATAACAACATCCGCCCGCGGTCCCCTCGATCCCCTGGCGCCGATTGGAGGCAGTCTCATTCTCGAGCCAGGTGCTCCTGCTCCTCCTCCTCCTCCTCCTCCTCCTCCTCCTCCTCCTCCTCCTCCTCCTCCTCCTACTCCTGCTCCTGCTCCTCCTCCTCCTCCTCCTGCTCCTCCTGCTCCTCCTCCTCCTCCTCCTGCTCCTCCTGCTCCTCCTGCTCCTCCTGCTCCTCCTCCTCCTCCTGCTCCTTCTGCTCCTCCTCCTCCTCCTGCTCCTGCTCCTTCTGCTCCTCCTCCTCCTCCTGCTCCTGCTCCTGCTCCTGCTCCTGCTCCTGCTCCTGCTCCTGCTCCTCCTCCTCCTCCTCCTCCTCCTCCTCCTCCTCCTCCTCCTCCTCCTCCTTGTTTTTGGGGTCAGGCAAGCATCAGCGACGGAGCTGATGGAGGCCGGGCGGACGGCGAGGGAGGGAGGGAGGGAGGGAGGGTGGGGATCGCAAGCAGCTGCGGGCAGAGTTGCTGCACCAGTATGCGCAAAACAGCAGCCCGAGCATCGAGATGCTCAGTGTGTATGGAACCGGGCGCCCCGATAGGCGCGTCTTTGGAGCATAGTAAGCTTGGAAAACGAAAGCAAGTAGGAAAACGCAGAGCTCCGGGAGGGCGGGAGGGAAAGGGAGGAGGAGGAGGACGGCGGCTAAGACGCAGAGAGTTGGCAGCGTCGGGGCAGGCGAGGGGCGAGGCAGGAGGGCGGCGAGGGAGGGAGGGAGGGAGGGAGGGAGGGGAGGGAGGGGAGGAGGACGGGGAGGCCATAGAACGGGACTGGTGACTTGGTCGGCCAGTGGCCTGGGTATCGGCGTCGGGTGGGGCCGCAGGCCGGGTCCCTTTTCTGGTGGCAACGCCAGCTCGGAGCGGGTCCAAGCCTGTCGCGGGAGGTCCCGTGCCGCAGCGTCACGGCGCGACTCGCTCCGAGAGACCCTCCGGGGGGGGGGGAGGGGCACACCCCCGGAAGCATGCCCTCAGGTCGGGCGTGTCCTCTTACAGGCGGAGTTGGGACGAAGAACGAACACATTGAAAAATACTTCAAAAGAATGAAACAAGTAACAGAAAAAGGCGTCTCCAGACTATTTTCTGACTGTTTCTGGATACTCCTGCTGTAGAGGGACACGCCCGACTGAAGCACACCCTCTCCCCACCGCGACCACGGGCACGTCAGCGGAGCCCATCCTGCCCTATGCCCCGGGAGTGGGGGCGGGAGGGGGAGTCCCAGAATAGGGGAGAGACCCCCAGAATTGAGGGAGGGGGGGCAGGGAGGAGAAGGAAACGTGAGGGGAAGAAGGTGAAGGAGGAGGACAAGGTAGGAGAAGTGAGAAGGAGGAGGGAGGAGATGGAGAACGAGTTAAGAGGAGGCGGGAACCTGGTGTAGGAAGCGAGTCCTCTGCATCGAGAGAGAGGCTCTCGCTGCTGAACCTGGGTGGCCAAGCACGTGGCGAGGAGGCTCTGGGGCGTCAAGGTTTCCGGTCCTCCCCAGCCCAGATCGATAGTGGGGCTGGAGGGGGAAGTCCTCTCTTCGCGGTTGTGCGAGGCCTAAACTGCTAAACCTGGGGGACCACGCATGCGAGGAGGAAGTCCTCGGACCTTCTGGTTCCCGGGCCCTCGTCCACTCAGGCGAGGAAGTCCTGGCCCGCTTGGTTGTGGTCGGGCTGGACTCTCGCGTCCGCGCTGCAAGCAACATCGTCCTCCCCGCCGATCTATATGTTTGCTCTTTTCTGGTAACAGTCGCTCCACGTGGGGGGGGGGGGGGGAGGGGGCGACCCGGCTTGTCAGCAGTAACCCTTTGGCGGGGTGGCACATCTTGCCGCCGGCGGCGAGGCAGAGGCAGTCCGCACCAGCGTGGCTCCCGAACGAAGTGAACCCCACCCTCCCCCCCAGAAATCGTGGGGGGCAGGGGTAGGGTTCGCATGTGGCCCCCTAGTGGGGCTAATCGGGGGCGCCGATCGGCAAATCGTCCGGCTGGCGGGGTGGAACACGTCGCGGCGGGGGCTCGCTGCGATCGCCGCAGCAGGGGCGCGGGCACCGGCATCACAGGGGGGGCCCGGCCCCCGCCCTGCCGAAGGGCCGCTACCCGGGAGGGGGGCCCCCGACTTCGGACCCGCCGTACTTTCTGGGCGACGCCGTTCTCGCAGGGCGGACGCGCCCGCTCTGCGCTCTCGAGCTCCTTTGATGTCGGCTTCCGCCCTGCGCTGGCGTCGCTGTGGCGCCAGGCCTGTGCAGAACTCGCGGGCCGGGGAGGAGCTCGCAGTGCAACGGCGAGAGCCCCCCACCGGGAAGTCGGCTTCGGTTTCGCGTGCGTGTCGTGCGTGCGGGCGAGGCGGAGTTGCGAAGGCGCGCGAGAGGAATAACCCCGCCGTCGCTAGGGCGATCCGGATGCAAAGGAACGCCCCTCCGCCCCCGGTGGGCGCGCGGTGGCCCAAGGTGTCCCGCCGTGGAGTCCTGTGGTGTCCCGTTGATGTCCGTTGGTGTCTCGGCGGTGTTCCGTGGGCGGTGTCCCGCCTTGGTATCGACAGTGGAGTCGATAGCGAGATCGAGAACGAGATCGCGAGAATGGGATGGACGGTGGGATCACAAAAGTGAGATCGACAGTGAGGTTGACTGTGACAATAGTGGTGAGAACGGTAGTGAGATCGATAGTGAGATCGATAGAGGAATCGATCATGAGATCGATAGTGGAATCGACTGTGAGATCGAAAGCGACATCTATAGTGAGATCGATGGTGAGATCGACTGTGATATCTATAATGAAATCGATCGAGTGTGACCGATTATGTGAGATTGATAGTGGGATCGATCGAGTGAGATCGAATGAGGGGACGATAGTGGCATGACATCGCAGTGCAGCATCGTCTTCACGCGTCGTCGCTAACTCGAGGGCGTGTCACCAGCATCGTCATCATCACACCCATCGCATTTGCCAGCAGCTGGTTTCCCCCCCACCCCCCCGACCCCCCACCGCCCCAATCTCCCGAAGGGTGGTCGCATAAGCATCGGCCCCTACTTTTCTGAGGCGGAAGTTTCCGCCAACTTGTTCGCGTTGTTTGGGTGCATTTATGACATAGCTCTAGGTCGGAAAATCCGACAAATTACGGCGGATTCAGAGTCGGGGGGGGAGGGGGTGACGCTTGCTCGCATCCGGGGAGCCTGCTCACTCATGTGGGTCTGAACAGCTTGACGTACTGACATTCGCCTGAGCTTGATATCCCAAGGAAGTGCATCGCCAGGCAGAGATCGCAATGGGCTGCTTGTGGTTTGTAATGTACACCTGCGGGCTTGAACACTGCATCATGCTAGATTTGAGGGGTGGGCCCGGGTAGCGACCGTTACGCGCTAGATAACGAAAACAAAAAAACAATCTCCCCCCGATCACCGCCGTCAAGCGCGGCTTCTCCGCCAGCGCCGGGCAAAGCGCCTCGACGCCCGCGTCCCCGAGCTCGTGCCCCTGCAGGTTCAGCCTCTTGGGCGCACCCAGGGGTCGGCCACGACCACGCCCTCCACAGCCTATTCCTCCTCCGCAGCCTCCTCGACCTTCTCCTCCTCCTCGTCCTCCTCCTCCTCCTCCTCCTCCTCCACCTTCTCCTCCTCCTCCTCCTCCTCCTCCTCCTCCTCCTCCTCCTCCTCCTCCTCATCCTTATCCTCGAGATTCCAGGATCAAACCTTTCATCGTTTTCGACTGCCTCTGGGGCTCCCCGCACCTACCACGAGAACAAGGACGACAACGACGGCAACGACGATGACGACGACGACTACCACCACCACGACGACGGCAACGACGAGGACGACGACGAGGGTATCGACGAGGACGACGACGACGACGACGACGACGACGACGTCGGCGGCAGCGACGACGACGACCGTGGCCTCTCCACGCCGGGCTCTACCCCGCATGCCGCGGCCACCGCCGGGCCCCTTCGCGCGAGGTGCCCGGGCGGCGAAACGGTTTGACATCCGCCAGCGCGAGGAGGGAAGTATGAGAGGAGAGAAGAGGTAGAATGGAAGGAGGAGATGAGGAGGAGATGATGAGGAGGATGAAGGAGGAGGAGGAGTGGGGGGGCACCGCCCGAGGTCGTAGGAAATTGAAATTTACGAGGAAGGGGGAGGAAGAGAAGAGAAGGAGGAAGAGAAGAGAAGGAGGAGGAGGAGGAGGAGGAGGAGGAGGAGGAGGACCTCGGGGCCTCCGCCATGTCGGCACGCCTGGAATGAAGCGAATCTCGCGGAAGCGGATCGAACCGGAAACGGATCGGATCGCCAACGGATCGGATCAAAATCGGATCGCCTGCACCCATCTCCGGCTGGTCCCCGTCGATGCGCCGACTCGAACCGAAAGCGCGGGCCCGCCCCGCGAACCGAAGCGCACCGGATCGGACCGGAGCGGACCCTGGCTAATGCCGCAGCCCGCCCCTCATCGCCGTGGCCGGATCCGTTGTCGCTGCGGCCGACTTCGCCGTGGTCGGAACGCCCCCTGGGAGAGGTCCGGGAGGGGCTGAGGCGGTGTTGTCGTCCCCCACAGGGCCGGGAGGGGGGGGGCGGGGCGCATCGCCTTAATTATCCCGGCGCCGATCTGACGGATTCTCCTGGTTGTCAGCACACACACACACCCCTAGATTGGCTGGTTTGTCAATCTTCGGGATGGGGATTAGCTCGAAGCTACTTGCCTCGCCTTTTCCCTCCTCGTCCCCGATGACTGTCCGTGGGAGGGGGGGGAGAGCTCTGGGAATCCACGTCGCGAAGCGTTCACAACATCAAGAGTCAGGGCTCGAAGGGGGAGGCCACTGGATCGGAACGCGGTGGCAGGAAAGCCAAATCGTCGCGAAGAAGCGTTCCTGCCCGCGGCGAAAAGTTTTGATCCCATCAGCATGCAAGTTTTGGGGGGACATGAGATCTGCTGCCCACAGCTCGCGAACGTTCTCCAACCAGCCACAAGCATTAGGGTAGGAATTCAATGCGTACCAAACGCACGCGCTCCGCACGCTATGTTCGGTATTTTTGGGGGAAGCCGCGCGGTAGGACCAGCTGGGGTATGGAAATGAACCACGCGCGAAACGCACATTTATAATTTCCGCACGCCGCTCTCGTTTCGAATGACAGACAAACAGGTTTGGGCTCGTAATGCGAATTTCGGCGCCCCCCTCCAAATCCACCTTCCTCCTCCTCCTCCGACCACCTCACTACCTCCTCCTCCACCTCCCCTCCCCCCTCCTCCTCTCCTCCTCACTCTCCTCCTCCTCCTCCATCCTCCTCCTCTCCTCCTTCCTCCTCCTTCCTCCCACCTCCACCTCCTCCTCCCTCCACCTCCTCCTCCTCCTCCTCCTCCCCTCCTCCTCCTCCTCCTCCTCCTCTCCTCCCCCACCACTCATCCCCCTTCTTCATCTCCTCCTCCTCCTCCTCCTCCTCGTCCTCCTCCTCCTCCACCTCTCCTCCTCCAACTCCTCCACCTCCACCTCCACATCCTCATCCACATCCCCATCCCATCCTCATCCCCCATCCATCCTCATCCTCATCCTCTATGCTCCAATCTTCCTCCTCCCTCCCTCTTCTCTACCTCCCCTTCCTCTAAATTCTTATGTCCGACGACCTCGCGTTGCCCCGCACCCACTCCTTCTTCTCCTCCCCCACCACCTCCTGCTCCTCACCTCCTCCTCACTCCCTGCACCTCCACCTCCTCCTTTCTTCATCCTGCTTCTCCCTCATCCCTCCTCAACCATCCTACCTCCTCCTTCCTCCTCCTCCTCCTCCTCCTCCTCCTCCTCCTCCTCCTCCTCTTCGGTCATCCTCCCGTTCTCTTCCTCCTCATCTTCCTCCTCCTCCTCCTCCTCCTCCTACTCCTACTCCTACTCCTCCTCTTCCTCCTCCGTCTCCTGACCCTCATCCTCCTCTTCTCCCCCGGGGGCATTCGATGCATGGGGGGGAGCGGGATGGCCCGCGTTGGCCGCAAGCTCCAGGTTGGTCTCGGGAGAGGGGAGGGGAGAAGGGGAGAAGGGGTAGGGAGGAAGGAGGAGGTGGTGGTGGCACGCCCACAAAAGAAGCCCCCCAGCCACCCTTGGACCGAAGCCAGAATCAGGAGTAGGTTGCATAGCGGAGAGACGAAGAAAGTGAATGTGGGAGGGAGGCTTGAACAAGAGAGCCCGGCATAACATAAGCGTTTGGAGCTCCGCGCGGACAATGGCGATGATGATGACGATGATGATGATGATGATAAGAATAATAATAATAATAGGATAATAATAATACTAATAATAATAATACTAATAATAATAGTAATAATATTATTAATAATAATAAGAATAAGAATAATAATAATAATAATATTACTGTTAATAATA